CTCCAAATCTTCTGTAACCTCTTGCGTCCTAGTGGCTTCCCGCCTTGCTTGGGGTGAAACGCTTAAAAAAAATGTATTATAACAAATGGACTTGATCTCAGACTGCTTTGTCCAGAAGGCTGCCTTGGTCTGGAAGTTTAAAGAAAAAACAACGAAGTTTATGTTATATTAGGTTGGTGCAAAAATACGACGTAATAATGTCGTTTTTGACGTTAAAAATACGTCAAAAAACGACATTATTACGTCATTATTTTTGCACCAACCTAATATTATTTAAACAAGGTTCCTTATTTTATAACAGAATAACAACACAATCAGCAAAAAATGCAAATTGCTTACTAAAAACGAAATACAGTTCGAAATTATTTAATGAGACATTTGTTTCTGATTATTGTTTGATAACTTTTTCACATCAGGTGAAATAGTTGTTGATGACAGGAGTAAAACATTATCCAGGTGGTCATCACCCACCCTTGTTCTTAAACGACTTTTAGTATATTTCATTTTCAAAAAAAGTTGTTCCCAGGTATATGTACTTCCAAATAATGATACTATCATTTTCGTATTATTTAACAGTCTTTTCTGTTTTCCGTTTGTCAAAACATTTCTTGTAGAAGTCAACCGTAGATTCGTAATGAAGTTTTGATTTACAAAAATTTCGTCGGATTTTAAGTCAATTAACTCCAAATGATATTTTTCTGCAACTTGCTCTACAAATTATTTACATAATTTGTGTCCAGGTATTAAGCTGGCGGGTTGGACAAAAATCCTTCGCGGGCCGGATGTGACCCGGGGGTTGCCGATCCCTTCCCTAGGGCAACGCAGGTTCGAATCTTGTCGGAGAACACATATTTATCTAATAATATTTCTCGAATATTCAGACTGGTAGATGAAAATAAATATACTGTTTAATAAATAAACAGCGCATCTACACAAATACGGGTATCTGGTAGAAATTACGTTTAAGTAATGAAAAATACATTCCTAAAAATGACCGTTAATATTTCAAGTCTTCCACAGCAGACGATAAAAACCTCGACCTCCGATAGTGAAATCCTCTTAACGTGCGCCAAATACAAGTACAGCCTGGAATAGTCATTCCGTTGACAATTATTCAACTTAGTCGAGAAAATAAATATTTCACGGGGAATTTTATATAGGTTTAACAAACTGGAACAAAATAATCGTACTGTGGAGAAAATTATTTGAATAAAAATAATCGCGCCAAGCCATATAAGCAATACGCCGAGAGAACTAATGGAAATAATTTAATCGTACCGGACGTAGACAACGGAGGCAAGATAAACAAAGGGTTACTTAGAGAAAGCTAAAACATCTTCGACATAAATAAATGTTAAGTGCTTCTTCGCTTTACGCCCTTTTTGACAACCGAGGATACTCGGTCACAATTAGATCTCATTCTGATTCATTCTGCACGCTGGTCGGATGTGAACGCCTCGAAGGCTGAAAACGAAATAACAAAAGTCGTTTTCTGCGCATTGGGCTCCACGCACCATGTCCGGTCTACGGAGTGAGCTCCGGCGGGGACCAATCGCGAACGTTCCCGCTGGTAAAAGAGACGCCCCTTGGGACTACCAGACCTGCTTAAAAGCAGGCTCTGAGGACGACCAAACAGTCAACATGACCGCACGTTTCAACGACCGTTGCCACTTCCTGACCTACAACCTCGGCTATTCAGTTTCGACTCAAAACATTCCAACCTCGATTTCTCTCGCTACCATACGCTTAATATAATACATATATGCATCATGTTATGCCAAATTTCGCTTTATCCACGCTATAAATCAGTCATTGGAGGCGCGTTTAGTCATTTTGAATGGCGCGCATAATTTCATAAGGAAAAATAACATTTCTTAAAATCTTATTTTACTTACATTATTACGACTGTTACCCTCATCTTTATTGTCATATGCTCAACGTTTCGGCCTTCTTCAGGACATTGGAATTTCGAACCGAACCTTTTATTTCTAGTTCTAGTTCCACGTGCCATGCCTCTTCCGGATGTCACAGTTATTTCGTACTTTATTTCCCTTTAACTCAACTCCCCAAGTTTTGTTCACCACTGCTGCAGTTTCTCTTTATGTGTTCTAGAAAATTCGACTGTCTCTTCCAAATGTTAAACATAAGTGTTGTTTTGGTTTCCATTTTCTCCAAAACTTGCTCGTGACTCGCATGACTGGTATATGGTATTCTCAGCAACCTTCTGTAGAACCAAATTTCTTTTGCCTGAAATATCTTCATCTGTGAGGAGATTGTCCAGCATTCACTGCCATATAGGTGAACTGATATTGAACTCACAACTCTGGGTCTTGTCACTGAATCTAACCAATGTCTTTATCCTTGTGCCATGTGTCCTTGAAGACATCTGTATATGAATCTTTGGGACTTATAAACTTAATGTCTCAACAACCATTTTTACCAGTGCTCATACTGCAAATTTTCTGTTATTATTGTCGTATTGCATTTTTTTTACCAGAGCTTTTATTGCAATTTTGTTTGTTATTCATTGCTTTTCTCTAGCACTCTTTATCACTGGTTCCCATATTGTATTCTTTTCTATGCTTGGACGGCTCAGGAGATATTTATGGCCTAGCATATGTGCTGATTTCTTAAGTTTTCTTATTTTCCAGTGATGCTCTCTGTCTATTATTATGTCGCACTTTCCGTCCTCTGTTAAAACAGGGGTACGTGTGTAAAGAATTTATTATAATTTTTTGAATTGTACCGAAGGCGCATTCGAATATCATTTCCAAACGCTAAGCAGAGTATTAAGAAACAGAAAAATTTCGTTAGAAACAAAAAAGAGTACTGAACTGTTACGTAATATTAGTTCACTTATATGACAGTGATTGCTAGACAATCTCCTCACAGATGAAGATACTTGAAGCAAAAGAAATTTGGTTCTACAGAAAGTTGCTGAGTATACCATATACCGATCATGCGAGCAACGAGCAAGTTTTAGATAAAATGGATACAGAAAGAACACTTACGCTTAACATCAAGAAGAAACAGTTAAATTTTCTAGAGCACATAATGAGAAAAGTAGGCTTAGAAAATTTGATACTCACAAGACAGATTGAAGGCAAGAGGAACAAAGGTAAATAACATATAACCTACCTAGCGAGCTTGAGTAAATAAATAACAGAAAAGGGTTTAGGAGAGATAACAGAAAGAGAAATTTTATTAAGAGCTACAAAGAACGGGGAATTGTGGAGAGCAGTCATCGCCTACGTCCTGTGGGGTTGCGGCACATAGACGAAGAAAAAGACTATTTGATATTTTACATTGAGCTCTTTCTTTTTACTACGCTGGCTTTTCCTCGGGTAATTATTATAATTATATGCATAACTAAAGATCCGCCCAGCAAAGTTGCAGTTTACACCACAGAGTAACAGATGGCACAGGTCAGAGGTTATCCTCCAGACGAGGCTATGTCGAAGGGCAGAGTCTCGTCTCGGGAAACAGCTACTGGACTCCGTTTTTACGAGGTCTACAGGAAATTTTTGGCCGAATCTACGGGCTCGGATACCCCATGATTAAACTCGGCCTTGTGCCACATCTTGCTACGTGGGACAAATACCTACACCACAGAGTAACACTGTGGACAGAAAAAGAAATAAGCCTGTGCTGACGTATTTTCTGAGCTCGACATGGCCGTTATCAGCCGGTCTCACTACTTTTTTTTCTTTTTTTTTTTTAAGCATTTCACCCCAAGCAAGGCGGGAAGCCACTAGGACGCAAGGGGTTACAAAAAATTTAGAACAAGATCAGATAGGAGTGATAGAAGAAAGGATGAGGACAGTGGATAGATCAAGGCAACTGGAGATGTCGATTGACATTACACTTGAATAGCTGGAGATTATAGCTCACAGGGAAACTGGAATAGGGAAGGGAGTTCCACAGGCGAGAGGTGCGAGCCATGAAGCTATTGGAGTAGAAGAGACGGCTACATTTAGTAGTTTCGACAGTGAAAGGGTGAGAGCGAGATGCCAGCCTCGTATGGCGCTGGAACTCATGACGTCTGGGAACCAGCGAATGCAGCTCCTTGGAGCAATTTCCATGAAAGTATTTGTAAAAAAGAAAGAGAGAGGCGACGGCGTGTCTGTGAGAAAGTGACTGTAGACGAGACGCCAGAGCAGGGCCAACTACATTGCATATCCGCCTCTGGAGCTTATCAAGAACCCCGAGGCAAACAGAAGGGGCACCAGATCATATATGGCAGTAATACTCCATGAAAGGGTGAATTGTTGATTTGTAGATCTGGATGATCGACTCCGGGGAGAAAAACTTCCTGGCGCGGCTCAGGGAGCCAACTTTCCTTGCGGTGGACGAAGCAATTGACTCAATGTATTTATTCCATCTCAGGTCAGCAGTCAACGTAAGACCGAGAAGCCGCAGAGAGTTGCTCTCGAGAAGTCACACGGATTGCCGTGATTCTCTGCCGCCACCCAGTTCTATTGTTTATCACATTCGGCAGACCAAGGGATTGCAGTTTATGTCGTCACAAATCTTCTTATAGCTTTTGATTTGTCTTCCTCTGCTAGCTCTTCTGTGTCTAGGCTTTCACGAGTGGACTACACTAACGATTTCAGCAATGTCATGCGAATCTGACGCTATACTCTTTGATGATGTCCGACACTGGACGAAGGTTCTCATTGATCAGACGAATCCTCCGAGTGACATTCAAAGCCATTCTTAGGTCACATCCGATCTTCTTTCCAGTTTTAAGCTCAGAGTGCTGAGTAGCCATACAATAGAACACAGGTAACAGTTGCTTAAAAGCGACTGCTTTTCGTGTTATCTAGTTTTCCATACTAGAGATAACTTGCCGCCGGCACCTCAGGCTTAACAAATGCGTGCGTTTACAACGATTTCGCAGCTAGAGATTTTTCTACCGAGATAAGTAAATTCTTCTACACAATTGTGAGGTGTACCAGATACTGTTTTGATGGTTGCAATTTGATTTAAGCTAATATGGCTTACGGTCACATCATGTTGAAACACCGGTTCCCATACGATCACCGAAGTTAAGCAACGTCAAGCCTGGTCAGTACCTAGATGGGTGACCACTTGGGAATAGCAGGTTCTGTAAGCTGGGTGGGATATGTGGTTGGTCTAATGGATATTTGCTCGGAATTGTTAATTAGAGTGCTGAGATCCGATTCTAGTCTGGTTTGTTATATTCACCTATGTGCAAGCACCATTAGGAAAGGCATGAATCCACCTCTCCCAGATATGGGTTAATTAGTAAGACTTCTATTGCTAAATATTATCTCAAAAAAAATTCTTGCAATCTAAAAATATTTTCTGGCTTTAAATAACCTGCAAAGGGTTGATAAACCGTAAAAAAACGAATCAAGCTTATGCATTCTGTTTTGTCCGAGTTGCAGACTTCTACAACATGGATTAGTCATTCTAGCAAATGAGCATATACGGAGCAGACAACTCTTACTGTCATAATTTTCCGTCTCGCTATATCCTAAGCGTGTATAAAAATTTTGAAGTATCGCTTAACAAATACTATTCAAGAGATAATGGATTATATAAACAACTAATTACCCTATTTACATCGTTCGAAATGTTGTCCTCGTCGTTATTGCCATATTCACAACGTTTCGGCCGCTGTACTCTCCAACCTTCTTCAGGTGATATACGTTAGAATTCCGAAACGACGGCGTAGACTATTCTAATTCCACGTGCCATATCTTTGTGGGGTGGATATCTCAATATCAGTTAATTCCCTTTAATAACTCAACTCTCGAAAAATTGTCTTCTCCCTGCTCTGGTCAGGTATTGAACTATTAGGTTGGGGCAAAAATAATGTCGTTTTTTGACGTTAAAAAATACGTCAAAAAACGACATTATTACGTCATTATTTTTGCACCAACCTAATAACAACTATTTGCGTCAAATCACTTTTTGGATTACTCAACCAACTCTTCCTATCCACTGGTTCCAGAAAAATAAAAAAAAACTTGAATTGAGTTACTAAAGGGAATTAACTTATACTGAGATATCCAAACAAACAAAAAAAGGTATGGCACGTGGAATTAGAACAATCTACCCTCGTGAATTAAATAAAGGGTTTGGTTGGAAATTCCAATTCGAAATTCCTGATGGTCGGAGCGTACAACGGCCGAAACATCGTGAATATGGCAATAAAGATGAGAACAACCGTCTGAATGATGTAAATAGTGCAAATAGTTACAATACCTCGTCTCAGACATATATATATATATATATATATATATACATAACTAGTATTAATATTTTACTGAATTTTTATATCTGAAAAGATGAAAGTAATAATAGGATTTTTTTTGTATTTAGTGATTTAAATATGTTAAAATGTGTTAACCGTCAATATTGCATATTCAACAAACCCCACCTTCGTCACAATTACATTAAAATCCTTCCTAGGTTTTTGCAAACAAAATATTTTCTCAAATAGCAATCCATAACCTCCCGAGAATCGTACTTGTTCCCCGGGTGTAGCAAATACTTTTTTGCTTCCAGCGTCTCTGTTAAAAAACAAAAACATTGTTAAAACTGTTCCCGGGTGCGGAGTCCAGAAACGGGAAAAAATAACATATACATATATATAAAGTTACGAAGAACTTGGTAAACCGAATGGGTAATTCCAAGGAGGATGAAATCCTGAGAGCTCAATGTGAATACAGAGCTAATATTTAATGAAACCACTTTAAAGTGGTCTGTTTTTCATTAAATATTTATATATATATATATATATATATATATATATATATATCATCTGAAAAAGTGAAAGTAAAAAGAGTGAATAGGAATTTTTTTTGTATTTGTAATTAGCGAAGTAGATATTTGCAAATGTGTTAACCGTCGTTTCTACAAAAAAAAAAAAAAAATAACACTTGGCCAGTATCTGTTAATAAAATGCGAAAAGGGAATTAATATTATCCCCTCCCGTTCCGGCTACATACATCCCCTCGAGGTTTATTTAGGAAATCAAAACCCAGATACTATCGAGTTTTTTGTAAATCAAACAACAAAAAAGGCCTGTATCTAAAATATTATTCTAAGAAATGTCCGTCATTTCAGGTCAGTAACAATTAAAATAAAAAAGACAACTGGTGTTGCCACCAGACGATAGACTGATCCGAGTTTGTTATTTTAATGCTGACGTACCAGACCATGCAGCCTTTTCCTATTCAATAAATCCTAACCATGTCACCGTTACTTTAAAATCCTTCCTCAGTTTTAGCAAATAAAATAATATTTTCTCAAACAGAGATCCCTAACCTTCCGTTAATCGCTTCTAAGCACTTGTTCCTCGTGTGTAGCAAATACTTTTTTTTTTCTTCCGGTGTCTGTTAAAAAACAAAAAATGTCAAACCTCTTCCCGGGAGCGGAGGCTAAAAAAAGAAAAAATAACAACCTAAAAAAACAACAAAGCTAAAAAGAAAAACAAACTAAAAGGAATTAACTTTACCATATGCATTTTCCTCCCGCCATATTTGATTTCTTTCTTTATCTCACTGAACGAAGAGCGACTCTATGCCATACTTCCTGTGATTGTGCCGACATAATGCTATAATTAAACAAAACAGGTCAAAAATTACCACAAATTGTGCTGGGAACGTGCTAATGTTTGTATGTTTAAAAAAGTGAAATCCAGTTCACTCTCCATTTTTTTAACTCCCTTCTTAACTCAACTTTTGTTTTACGTTCGGCTGAACGAGAGCGTCACTAGCGAACGAAAGAAGAGAGACTACATTAAGAAGAACAATAGATACATTAGTGCTGAAAGGAAGAAAAAGAATACGCTAATAAAAGCGAGGAGAACCTGTCAGAACTGAATGGAGAGAACGTATGTAATTTTAAAAGAAGCATCTAAAAAAAAAAAAGGTAATAAAAATAATCGAAATGTGGATGTTGGCTTTATTTATATTTGCATTTTCTTTTCTGCGCATGTCTCTGTTTGCTAATTGGTTCGAATCAACAGTTATTCTTCCTGTCCTCGGAGTCGATATGATTGTACGCTTCATTGTCTATAGAAGTTGTCGCCCATCCAAATTTGTTCACGTACATTAATCTAGCTGCTCGTAAATGCTTCAAAGCAGATGTATCTCATTCACGTAAACTTCCACTCTTTCATTCATTCATATATATATATATATATATAAGCAAGTACAAAGTTAGTACACATATAATAAAATTCCAATTAGTTGAGCTAATAATATTTATGCAGATTCATAATATAGACATGTAATAAAATCACTACAAAAGTTGCAATTTTTTTAATTCCAACTTTAATAGTGATTTTATAACATGCATATGTTGTAAATTAGAAAATATATATATATATATAGAGAGAGAGAGAGAGAAAGATAGAGACGTTTCGTCCTCTGAGAGACAAATGATATTTGCCTTGATAAAGTCCCTCAGAGGACGAAACGCGTCAGCTAGGATGTTTTCCTTTTGCCTTTATTCATATTGTTCTTTCACAGATATACTCTATCTGAAATTATATGATAAAAAGTTTCAGTATTTCCCAAGCATAATATAGTATATTTATGGGTAAAAGTGCGCAATATTAGGGAAAGAGCGTCTAAAAATATAAAACTGGGCACGGAGATCAACACCGAACAGCGACAGTCTGTTTCATACTTGAACGCTATCTTCAAGCCACACACACACACACATGTATATATATTTTCACACACAGACTACAGTTCAAAAGTTTGAAGCAACCCACAGAATTAGCATGGAATAAATTTGACAGAAGAGTGAAACCTTTCCATCCTATCTATCTATATATATATATATATATATATATATATATATTATTTTAAGACATTTTTATGTTTAACATTCTTTTTATAGATACAAATATTTAAGTAAATGCTCTGTTTATAATAAACAGTATTAAACAACATTTACCGGCCTGAATGTCCGAGAAATTTTCCCAGAAAATATTCGTCCTTCCGACAGGATTCAAACCTGTATCCTATACGGAACCGTCATTTAGATTGACGTGCCTTTACGATTTAGCCACGAAGGAGCTATATATATATATATATATATAATTATTTATTTTTAAAAATTTTATAACATAAATATGTTATAAATAAAAAAATTTATAACATAAATATGTTATAAATAAAAAAATTTTATAACATAAATATGTTATAATATATATATATATATATATATATATATATATATATATATATATGACTCCTTTGATATGTGTTTGATGCAAAATTGATTGAATAAATTGATGAGCAGATTTCAACATTGATATTACAGTTGAATTGTATTGCAAGGCACTATCCACTGATTAGTGATTTCTTGCTCAACTAGACGTCCATATTGTCTCATTTTGATCTTGACGATATGACCTCCATCTTCTGGCTTTCTCCTTCTATATTTAGGATAGAAGTCATTCACTTGTTCAAATTTAATTTAAATCAAATGGAACAAATCAGTAGGGTTTTGTGCCTCCTCTTTGATAAAAATGAAATATACTTATCTCGTGTAACTATAAATTTTACAAGACAGGGGAGCCCATCATACATAAAACAGGGAGTTACTTTTCAGTCGACCTGTAGATGAATTTGGCAAGACACAGACTCCCATAACCATATATATTCTATCTCCAAAACCCTAGGAGGAGTTCGATAACAAACAGACAGAGGTTACAACTTTACATATATATCAGTCAGTTAAGTGCCACACATGATACACGCTTAGGTGATCATGTATCTTTCGATACATGACTGACGAGGCAGAAGATTTTCCACACGGTAGTTTGCCATTTCTTTCTGCGGTAGACTGGTTGCCAACCAAGGCTAAAGAACCTAGTCTGTCCTGCTATTTACCCATAGCCGGACGTAGAAGAGATGGATTCATGCATTCCTCAAGTGCGTTTGTGTGTAAGTCAATATAACGAACTCGACTAGGATTCGAACTCGGCTCTCCGAGTTCTTATTCCGAGCCTATATCCATTACACGCACATGTGAATTTTGCGTGCATTATTATTGGATACAGTTCAGGAAAAAATCAGTTTTATCAAAATCATGCTAATTTTAAATACAGATGTTCGTTTTGGTT